ATTCATGTACATTAAATGAAAAAGCAGCTGTTTTATGGGTTAAAAAATGAGCAAGGTCTCTGTGGATTAATCTGAGAAAGTCTCCAAGCTATATTGTAAAACAAAAACAAAAAACAAAAAAAAACAAGTTGCAAACCAATATTTATAAGTACGCTACCTTTTGTGAGGAAAGATGGTGGGAGGAGAAATATTTTTTGTGTTTCTTGGTGCATGCATAAAGAAATTCTGGTATGGTACCCAAGAAATTGATGCGAGTGGGGCTACCTGTGTTGCAGGGGTGAGGAATGAGAATATGCATAGGAAGGAGGCTTTTTACTATATATATATTTTTACTGAACTACATAAACTTATTTGTTACCTGTTACAAAATTAAATATTCAAAGAACTTGCTGTCTTTGCTCAATGTCCACTGCTGGAGCTAATCTTGAGCTCACTTTCCCAACAGGTGAAGTCAAAGACAGTGGCCCAGTGTGTGGAGTACTACTACACGTGGAAAAAAATAATGCGGTTAGGGCGGAAACACAGGACACGCCTCGCAGAAATCATCGATGATTGCATGGTGAGTGATGCTACCAAGTTGTTGCTTGTGCTGGCCCCATTCCTACCCACACCCAGGTTAGTAAGTGACTGGTGTTTGGTTGGCTTTGCTACAGAGAGGGCCAGATAGCCGCAGTGAGAGGGTGACAGGGACCCAGCTCCCTCGTGGAATTTACGGTTTGACTTCCTGGTGTAGACAGAGGGAAAGCATCTAACTTTTGGCCTGTAACTCAGGGGTTAGTTATGGAGGTGAAAGCTAGCTTGTGTTTTAAGGCAGGTAGTAGCCAGGAAAGTTAAGCCAGGATGGTCCCAGCCTTAATTTGGTTAGTTTATAAGCGGGCGTCCTGACCCCTGGGATATTCCTTCCTGAATTTCCATGTCACAGATACTACTGACCTGAGACCATAATATGCCTCAAAAAGAAAGAGGAACCCTAGGATTTTGCCACAGTCTCCATAAAGCATGAGCAAGAGGAGCTTTGACCTCTAGACAGTACCAAGAACTCTCAATCACTGAGGAACTGGTTAGCACTATGTAGATGATTGTACTCTGTACATCACCATTTTTCCCTGGCATTGATTTCTTTCATTAGCCAACAACCCCAAATCGTCGGCATATTAAGATTAAGTACATACTAAAGACATAGCAAGATGGAAGGAGTCTCTAAACTCCATATGTGTGGCTTTGGCAATTACTATCACTTGTGATCCTTGTAATGAACTCTCCTCCCTGCATCCATAGCCAGGGGAGATCCCCTTTTCATACTTGGTGGAAAGCATTACCTACCATGTATGCGTATATAAAAATTATGTCTAACAACGAATTACTAAACTCCAGCTAGCCTCTATCACCAGCAAAACTCCAGCCTCTTTCACATCAGTGAAAGTGTTAGGAATTCATGAATTATGTGAATATTTGTAATTATATTTTCATTCCCAGTTGTGCCCCAGTTGTAAGTGTTAGGGCATATGGGGTAATTTTCTTTAACACACATTTGAATAGCACTTTCTTTGTGCCAGGAATTATGGTAGGCACTTAACAAATATTGAACTCATGTAATCCAATTTAATTCATTTAATACCAATTCTGTGTTGTAGGAAACTGAGGCATAGAGCTTTAAGTAAATTGGCCATGGTCACATAGCTAGTGAGTGTATTGTCTCAGTCTGATTCCCTTGTATAATACTTAAGAGCAATCAAAAGCAAATTCTTGTAGTGTAAAAACACTTGGACTCACTAATGCTTCAAAATCTTAGTTTTTAACTAGAATTGATTCTAGCTATGAAATATACACACATGTATAATTTATATTTGGGCCCAAATATCAGAGAAGATAGAAATCTGGGATAGAAAGGTATTGCCATTTTTTGATCAGAGATGGCAGTATTCTGTCTTCAGGGTTTCTTGTGATAGGGCTTTTGTTTTCTTCTTTAAATAGTGATGTCTTATATCAGAATAGCCTTTGTTTATCTGTGGCCTAACATGTAAAAAAAACCATATGGCCCTCTGTGGTCCAACCAACTAAAAGCAATTACATTTCCACCAATGTAAACAGCAATATGTATGTAGTGCTATAGATTATCCACGGATGTTAAATGGCCTCTGCCTCCTCTCCCCCACACCATCAGAGCATGTATTCTAGCTGGGAAGATGTGACATACACAAGTTGAAAGTTTACCAAGAACCACATGAGTGTTTAAAAGCAGTATAAGATGAGAACCAGGAAGTCTTAGATATAGCCTTAGGACTTCTCTCACCCAGTTCCACCATTTCACAGGCAGAAGGTTGAGACCCAGAGAGGGGAAGTAGCTTTCCTGAGGTCACACAGAGCATTGCTTTTCAAATGAGTATAATAGACAGTATACAAGGAAGCACAAAGAATCCTAGCCTTGGATACCTAGGAACTGGCCTCCAGGTTTGCTGATCTGTAAAATAAGGCAGATGATTTAGGTGATTTGGAAAGTTCTTTCCAATTCTGGAATGTTCAGGTTCTGTCAGTGCCATGTTTTGGAAAAGGGCAAAATCAGAGGATATGGTCTCCTGAGGTAAATTGGCATCTCTTAGGCTTGGGTGTTACCAAGTGCCTAGGACAATGCCTCGCATAATAGAGGCACTCAATAAATATTGATGGGATGAATGAGTGAGTGAACATTTTTCTGAGACAGGAGTCACTCTGGTTCATAGCAATGTTCACTCTATGAACTCTTCAGAGGGAGACGGAGTGAACAAGGGGATGCTGAACAGAGGAGCACAACTAAGGAAGATGTTACCGCACACAGCAGAGGCACCATCTCGGGCTGACAGGGCTTTGAAGATGGGTAGAAAGGCCCAGACCAGCGTGTAGCCTCAGAGCAAAGAGGAGAAGTTAAGTTAAGGGTCCACACCTTCTTGGGCTTCTTCTGCAGGAACCAGTATTAGGCTGAGTCAGGAGCATCCACACCCTCGTCACTTGTGAGCTTAGAGGGAGCAAAAGGCTTATGTGCAGAGATGACTCAGGACCACAAAAAACAAGGAAATCTTAATAGAAGGCCAGTGTGGTAGCTCCCGGCTTTCTTGTGGGCAGTCAGCCTTCTGAGCATAGTTTGCCAAACGAAGATGAAAAGCTGGGATCGTGCAAGGGCTGGGGAGGGTGCAGAAGGCACAGTCCGAGGACATGGTCCTGTTTTGTCCTCTGAGCCTGCTTGGGACACCTGGGATGGCTCTCCTGGTCATGTATCCTCAATGTTTTATTAAAGGGCAGGTGACCATTCCCCCCGGATGGAACACACTCTGGGAGCTCAGGAGTTATTGAGGACTTAAAGGAGAGAGGAGGTTTGTGAAGAATAGTTACTGTTTAGGCAGCCAGGAAGTCAGCATAGCACATTTGCCCACTCTGCAGGGCTAGTTTGTCTTCTGGCTTGAGCCACTGTGGGCCCTTTCCCCCTGGAGGCAGAAGGGGACCAAGATGGATTCTGTTAAGAAGGTGGGAGGAAAGTGTGCTGCCTACACCTTCCTATCCCCTGCCCATGCTCCTGCTCCCCCACTCAGGGCAAGTCTATTGGGTTGGCTCTGACCAAAATTCAGCACAGTTTGAGAAACCAGCCAAGGCAGGTAACTGACTTTAGAAAACAGCAGTCAGGGCTCCAAGGGCAAAGGTCAGGCTCACCCATGATGTCAACACCTGTTTACCTACAACATGGTCCATTGGCAAGGAGCGTGGGAAACATCCTACTTCCCTTTGACACCTAAAGGCAGGTGGTGCCAATGGTTCTGAGAGGTCTAGGATCTCTAAGCTATATACAGACGGACAAATGTGTATTTGTGGACATTTGCACCAGGACCAAGGAGTGAAGAAAGCTGAGGTTTTAGAATCAGACAGGCCGGGTTTTCAGTCTCAGTTCAGCTTCTTTACCAGCTATGTGACTTTGGGGATATTACTTTTCTGGCCAATTTCCTTATTTGTATAAAAAAGAAAAATTTGTACAGGGTTGTTGTGAGAACTAGAAATGTGCATGTGTATATATGTGTGTGTGTTTGTTCAGTGCCTGATTCATACCAGGCATTTAGTATACTGTCGTCATCGTTATCATTAGTGACTCTGACACTCAAATTTGTGTCTTTGAGAAAATTTAGGTTGTTGAGCATTTGTATTGTAAACTACCAGTTTCTTATAATGTGAATCCACTTACATGCCTGAGAACTAAAAATATCATCCTCCTCAAGAAACTCTTATTGTGGATACTCAAGGTTTTGAGCACCATGTTTAATGTATAACCACCTCAAGCCCTGTATTTGCCCACCTTCTTAATTTTGGAGTATTACTAAATGTTTCATTTCACAGTACATCACAAAATGGCCAACTTGTTGATACAGAGTTCTACATGTTAGGATTTTTGTCCTATCTTTGTATCTCTTAGTCACTTTGATGAGCCATATGGCTTACTGATAAATCAGTTTGTGAACACGTATAGATTGCCAGTTGGACTAAAACCTATCTAAATTCCTGAGACATACATAATCACAGTACAGAATAATTTAATGTATAATTTTGTGGCCATATGGAATGTTTCTTCTAAGAGTTTTTAAGCTAAAGAATGGTATTGTGAGAAAATTGTAATTATAGCAAGTATCATGAAACAAATGCCATTACCATTGAAAGTTATTGTGTAATTCATTTTAAATGACAAATTGTAGGCCATGGTCTACCTCATATTTGAGACCACAAAATTCCAGTTCTATTAAAAAAAGAAAAAAAAAAAAGGCAAACCCTTGGAGTTGGGTTTTGCCTGAAACTCTTTGGGACTGAAATATGGTGGATTGCTACGGGAATGAAACCACCTAAGTGAAGTCAACCCATATATTCTATACTAGTAAGAGGCCTACAGCTCATATCATAAACCACTCTGTAAAATGTATTAGACCCACATCAGTATTCATTGAGGTCTTCCAGCAAATGTAATTATCACTAATTAATCCTGATTAACCAACTGGAAATGGTACCATTTCTTAAATACATCCTGTTAAGACATCATCTTAAATATGCATATATGTGATATTAGATATAGACAGTGCTGAAACACTAAGAGGGTGCTAATTGCCTCACTCTGACTGGGCACTATTGCAACCCCCACCCCCACCCCCCAAATCCAAACTGGAGAAAGGAAGCTTCTGGCTTCTGGATCCCAGGGTACTACTATTCTCAGAAATCTTTATCCCACTTGGAAATTCTTGCTTCTGGGTTCTAAGAATTGTAGGCTCACTCAGAGTTACATCGCCGTTGGGTTAAAGCAAACTGGAGCCCATATGCTTTAAGCAGGGGGTGTGCCAAAGGAGCCTGGCAGAGACAAACGAACTGTCAGGGTCAGAGGCAGCTGGACATACCTTTCACTTCCTCATTTGTAAAATGGGAGAACTGTTTACAGCCTATTCAATGACATGGTAAATGTGAAAGCACTTTGTAAAGTGTAGAATATTAGCTGAAATGAGGGTATTATATGACAGGATTCCCTTTCCCAGTCCTCAGCCGTTTCTGGACCTGCAGGAGCCAGCATCCTTCATCCCACCCCAGTGTGGATGGAGAGAACAGAATAAAGTAGTTAAGCAAGAGGTAGAATGAGGGCCTTCTAGACCCCTGCCTTCCATCCCAGGGCTCCCAGGTGCCCGCTCCAAGCTGCTCCAGTAACTTACTATTTTGTTAACCTTGAGGAGGCAGGGACCTTCTGCTTCATTCTCCACAGGCTGCTCTTCTGAAGTGGGGAGAAGGGAACATATAAGCAGAGAGGATAAGTCTTCATAGAAAGTGTTTTATTGTTCTTTTTCATAAAATGCCCCTGATGGGAGAAAATGAGTAAATAGAAGGACTGAATACACTGCTTTCTCCAAGCCCATGGTCACAGACAAAAGAAAAAGCACATGATAAATAAAAGGGAATCTCCCCTCCACGCTCCCTCCTATTCATTCTATTTTCTATCAAGACCAGAGTAGGAGCGTTGCCTGTGCCACATGATTTCCACGTACTGAGGGTCAAATCAGGCATCTTGCACAGAAGCGTGTTATAAAACCTGTTAAACAAATCATTATAGGTCTTTACTCTTTCTTTAGTGGGGTTTCCACAGTATTATTAGTGCTTGAAAGCCCTCCTCACTGCTGTGAGGAGACAAAGCTACTCACAAGCGGAGAAGCCTGCCTGAGTTTTAGTCATTTTCAAGGCCTGATAGTTTCAAACAATGTAGAGAATCTCTAAATGCAGAAATCTCTCCTCTATGCCTCAGCATCTTTTTATATAAGTGACGAGGGGACCCAAAATGATGAGGAGCCAGGGGGACTTCCTTGACCAACCTTTTAGAGATTGTGCCCAGCAGGATTTGTCAGCTGTTCCTTATGCAGAAGAAAGTGTCACAGCCCCAGTGTCCAGCCCCCTCCCCTTTACTGGTCTGTGAGTCCTGTTCATCATTAAGAATGCCATTTGGGGGCTTTCCCTCTTGCTTTTATTACCTTAACACTAGACAAGTGAAGAAGAGGAGTTAGAAGAGGAGGAGGAGGACATGGAAGAAGACAGGAAATCCACAAAAGAAGAGGAGAGTGGAGTGCCGAAGTCCCCAGAGCCGCCATCAGTCCCTGTCCTGGCTCCCACAGAGGGACCACCCCTACAGGCCCTTGGCCAGCCCTCAGGCTCCTTCATCTGTGAAATGCCCAACTGTGGGGCCGTAAGTGTCTCTGTCGTCTGGGGATCTGGGACAAGCAAGGGCTGTACAGCTGTGCCTGGCTTTAAGAGTCTATACCTTTTGGAAAGGGTGCAGTTGCAGCAGTGAGGGTTTGGCAGAGGGCACTCCATTGTTTTCTTACTCATTCGCCAGCAGATATTTATGGAGTGTGTGTTCTGTGTCAAGCACAATGCTGCATACTGGAGAATGCAAAGATGGTCCCTGACCTTAGGAAGTGTGTGATTCCAAGCTTTGCAGTGAGTGTTGCCTCCAGAATGTGCATTCCTCATGTCCCAGTGCCTCGGCACTCCCCTGGGCTGCATGTCACCCAAGGTCATGCCCTGTCAACATGCACTTAAATGCAACAGGAGAGCCCAGAGATCTTTTTATAACATAATTACTTGCCCCCACTGTCTGGAATGTTTTGCATTTTATATCCCATAAAGTGTTACTAATTCAGATGTCACTAATTTCAAATTTGAGAAGGGTGTTACAATGATTTATATTCTGTGGGGGAAAAATATTTACTAAGCAAATTCATCATGTAAATAGGCTGAAAATGAGTCTGTGTAACTACTTAGCCTAGTACTTTTCAAGTACTTTAGTAGCATCATTTAGCTAAAATAAAACAAGTTTGCTGTCTGATCATCCTTAGCACTAAAGAAAGGCCTTTACAGAATCAGTAATGGCCTAGTCTAAGGCTCCATGTATATTTTATTTTCTATTTATTTATTTATTCTGGCAGCTGACCAGTACAGGGATTGAACCATGGACCTTGGTGTTATCAGCACCACACTCTAACCAACTGAGCTAACCAGCCAGTCTCCATGTGTATTTTAAAGGATATTTTTAAAAGTTGTTTATTTATTTTGTTTGTTTGTTTGTTTCTTTTTTGTGACTGGTAAGGGGGTCGTAACCCTCGGCTTGGTGTCGCCCGCACCGCGCTCAGCCAGTGAGCGCACCGGCCATCCCTATATACGATCTGAACCCATGGCCCGGCCATCCCTATATAGGATCTGAACCCATGGTGGGAGCGCCACTGCACTCCCAGTGCCACACTCACCCAAGTGAGCCATAGGGTCGGCCCTAAAGTTGTTTATTTTGGACAGTTAGTCTCCTACTGGTCCCCCACTAATCTGAATTGGTGAACTTTTCCCGAATCAAGTTTCTTAAAGCCAGGCACACCTGTATAGGCAAGTTCTAGAAGTATTGTCCCCAAAATGAGAATGTTGCTCCTATTTCAAGAAGCCCCATTTTCCTTGACTTAATGCTCTTGTCTTTGCTTCTGTATTATATAGGACAATACTGTTTTCCAGAGTGTATTGAATGCTGCTTATTGAGTCACTTAGATGAAGAAAGCAGGTCTTTAAAATGCTTAGATCCCAAGGCAAAAATGCACTTGATTTACATTTAAGAAAAAAAAAGAAAGAAAGATTTTGCATTAGCTTTGAACATAGGAAATTGCTAGCTTGTTTTTGTCTCTACGTTTGTTTAGTGACTGGCTTCTGCATCATTGCCATTCTGGATAGAGCACTTTAGTTCAGGGGTGATGAAGATGTGGCTTGAAAAGTCAGTATTTCTTGCTGACTTTGTTCATAAATTAGATGCATCCACAATTTGTAGTTTTGGCATGCAGTAAATAGTTTACTAAGTGGGAAGTCATCTTTTAGTTTCCCCAATCAGAACTGCTCAGCAAAATTTTTTTTTTTCCTTTTTGTCTTTTTTCGTGTCCGGCAACGGATCACAACCCTCAGTGTTGCACCCATACCGGACTGGGACTGATTTTTTTTTTTCCTTTTTGTCTTTTTTCGTGTCCGGCAACGGATCACAACCCTCAGTGTTACACCCATACCGGACTGGGACTGGCAACGGGATCGCAACCCTCGGTGTTGCTCCCACACCTCGCTCAGCCAGTGAGCGGGAACCGGTCTGTATGTGGGATCCGAACCCTCGGCGGGAGCGCCACCACACTCCCAAGCGGCGCACTGTAGCTGGGATTTTTTTTTTTCTCTATAAGACAATAAACAGAGCTCATGAACTTAACACAGAGCAACCCCTACAGTTGGACAGCCAGATGGGGACTCCCTTTAGCTGATGAGTTTAATAAGTTAGAAGTCGGGGCTCTTGGAATTCAGGGGTGTGGATTACATCCCTCTACAACAGTTGTTCTGAACTGGGGATGATTTGTTGCCCAAGAACACATGACAGTCAATTTTGCAGACATTTTTGTCACAACTGGGGAAGTGCTACTTGCATTTGGTAGGCAGAGGCCAGAGATGCTGCTAAACATCCTATGCAACACAGCTCTTGACAAGGAAGAATCATCCAGCCCCAAAATGTCAGTAGTGCTGAGGTTGAGAAACCCTGTTTTATAGCAAGCTTCCAAAGACTGCCCAGGTCCTTCCCCTTTTTATCATCCTGTATTAAAATTTGGGGTCTTAAACATTGTTTCAGCAATGGGCTACTGATTAAGACTATACATAACATATAGAGTATACCAAAGAACCCTAATAAATGACTTTCAATCTATGTTCCTTGGAGTACTAGGGCTTCCTGGGGAGAGACAGAGGAGAGCAAACTGGCTCAGTTCTGGGGTGCTGTCTCTGTTTTAGCCAGAGCACCTCTGCTTTTAACTCGAGCTTTTGAGTAAGACCTGATTTGTTAAAAAAGAGAGGAGGGAGGAAGGGAGGAAGGAAGGAAGAAAAAGGGAGGGAGGGAGGTGGTTTTCAGCTTAAAAAAAAAAGTTTGAAAGCTGGTCCAACCCCCTTATTTTGCAGATGGAAAAAAATAAAGTGTATAGAAGGGAGATGGCCTAATGGCCTCACTGTTAGTAATGACAGAGCTGGATCTAGACCCCTGATCTGACTTATGGACAGTAGCTCTGTCCTTTCTACTGTGCCACATTACCTCTCTTGTCTTCTGGTTATAACAATGATGAGATTTCTTATTGGCACAGCATTTGTGATTGTGGTATTTGATCTTTTCTGTCTGTGGCACATATCCAAAGTTTGCTTATGTAAAACAAACCCATGTGCCCTGTTGTTAGACACTGTCTCGAGTATCACATGTTTTACCACCGAGTAACTAATAACCCTAATTTCCTTTTCAGGACTGTAGATGTCATGTCACTCCCTTTCTTCCCCAGGTGTTCAGCTCCCGACAGGCACTGAATGGCCACGCCCGCATCCACGGTGGCACCAACCAGGTGACCAAAGCCCGAGGTGCTGTCCCCTCTGGGAAGCAGAAGCCTGGAGGCACCCAGAGTGGATACTGCTCAGTAAAGAGCTCGCCCTCTCATAGCACCACCAGCGGTGAGACGGACCCCACCACCATCTTCCCCTGCAAGGAGTGTGGCAAGTAGGTGAAGCTGGACCAGGGACTGAATCTAAGTTTGTGACAGATAATTGCTCTATGGGGGCCAGGCTGAGATAGTCTGAGGTTTCTTCAACTAGAAAAAGAACCTAGACTCTCAAAACTCTCCTTTATACCATACTTAGGGTCTGTATGATGGACCTTGTCCCTAACTCAGAATGTGGCCCTCTTATATGCTAGAGCCTAGTAAGGGTGGACATCTTCAGAGGGACTATAGACATCATCTCTAGTGACAAAACTTCACTCTTTTCCAGAACCGGTGAGTGGGACTCTGATTCCCACTTCCCTTCACAACCAAACCATTTTCACTGGTGTCACTCTCTTTGCATCCCTGCTGAGAGACTTGAGAATGGCACTAGAACGCCTAATCAGGAACTCTCTATAGCAGAGATGGCTCATACATGGCACTTCTACCACTACGGCTCACTCCTGGGTCCAGGCAGACATTGCTAATCAATTACCATATTTTTTGCTATCACATTGAGACAGGGCATCAAATCCTTTTCATTCTAATGCTTCAAGCTAGCACAACCAATTGTTCAGAGTTGACATATGAAATAATACTTATTTGTCATCTCTCTCCTTTTAGGTATAATTTAAATAACAACTAAGAGGGGAAAACTGACACTAAGTGGTGATAGTAACAGCTAACATTTATTGAGCCCCCCAAAAAAAAAAAAAAAAGAGAAAAAGAAAATAATCAGGAAAAAACTTTCTGTACTGAATGTGTACAACCTTTTTTGCTTGTCATTTTCCCCTAAACAATACAGTATAACAACTATTTAAATAGAATTTACATTGCATTAGGCATTATAAGTAATCTAGAGATGATTTAAAGTATACAGGAGGATATGCACAGGTTATATGCAAATACTACACTATTTTATATCAGAGGCTTGAGCATCTGTGGATTTTGGTATCCATGGGAGGTCCTGGAACCAATCCTCCACAGATACGGAGGGATGACTGTTTTTCATGCTTTCTAGCTGTCTGTCAGTGGCATTTATTATATGTATTCTTGGCTTCTTTTTTATGTTGCTTGGGATCTCTTTATACCATGAGTCCAGCTAAGATTTTATGGAAAATAGAAAATTTTTCTGTGGTTTTTCAGACTGAGGATAATGTTAGGTAAGTGTTCACAGAGTGCCTCTTTTAGCTGCTGAAATTATGTTCATTACACTAAACAGTTTTCAGTACATCCAAGTGGAACTGTGGTTCATCAACCCTGTTTGACTCAGGCCTTAGAAATCAGTTTTTTTTCCCTTTATGAGCTCCGGAATGAATATAGAGTACTTGTGCCACCACCCTCCATAAACAGACAGTCTCACACGTGGGCAACCGTTTTGTGAAAAAGGCCCAAATAGTAACTGTTTTAGGTGTCTTAGGTCATATTGTATCTGTCACAGCTACTCAGCTTTGCCATGGTGGTTTAAAAGCAGCCATAGACAATGTATAAACAAATAGCCATCTGTGTTCCAGTAAAACTTTATTTGTAAAAACAGGCTGGATTTGGCCCACTGTCTATAGTTTGCAAACCCCTTGTCTAGAGAATTAACCCCAAGAATATGATATCTTTTAATCCTAGGGCTTCTCAACCTCAGCACCATTGACGTTCGGGGTCTGATAATTCCTTGCTTGGGGAGGAGGGACCATCCTCTGCATTGCAGGATGTTTAGCAGCACAGGGATGCTACCCACTAGATGCCAGAAGTACCACATCCAGCTGTGACAACCAAAAATGTTTCCAAACCTGGCCAGATGTTCCTTGGGGGCAAAATCACCCCCAGCTGAGAACCACTATTTTATTCTGAAGCCAACAGTAGGAAATTATGATAACGTGATGGCCAGCAAGAAGGGCTCTTAAGTGAAAAGGGGTGGTGGATGCCGCTCAGAAGTCATGAACAGTAAAGACAGAAGAGGGGCCACTGGATTTGGCCACACAGTTACTGGTGACCTTGAGAAAAGCAATTGGGTTGAAGTGGAGGTGATAGCAGTCCAATTGGAGAGGGTGGAGGAGAGGAAGAGGAGATACACCAAGTGTGAGTGGGCAGATCCCTTAAGAGTTTTGACTGTGGAAGAAAAGAGACAGAGGCCAGAGGCGGATGAGAGGTAGTTTTATGATGGAGACTGTCAGAGTGAGCTAGCATGATTTAGGGATTCTCCAGTGGAGGGGGCATGGCCAGTGGTGGGGAGAGAATGGGAGGCTGAAGGACAAGGTAAGTCGTGTGCTTCAGACCCCAGATGGACAGGAGGGCCTTTGAGAATGCCTACTCCATTGTCAGAGGAAGGAAGCCTGACTCACCATCACTGTGTCCCTGTCCCCATCCCCTTTCTTTGCAATCCTTGATGAGGAGGGAGGGGAGGTGATAGGTCACAGGGGAGGAGGTCCTAGGAGCTGAGGAGCCAGGGACTCTGTCAAAGCCATTGTAAACCAAACATTAAACCACGCACCCGGATTTCCAAGAACTTAGATCTCCTCCTAAATTTCACATGCTCCTTTTTCTTTATTTTTAGGGTCTTCTTCAAGATCAAAAGCCGAAACGCGCACATGAAAACTCACAGACAGCAGGAGGAACAGCAGAGGCAAAAGGCTCAGAAGGCAGCCTTCGCGGCTGAAATGGCAGCCACCATTGAGAGGACTACAGGGCCAGTGGGGGCGCCAGGGCTGCTGCCCCTGGACCAACTGAGTCTGATCAAACCCATCAAGGACGTGGACATCCTTGATGACAACGTTGTCCAGCAGTTAGGTGGCGTCATGGAAGAGGCCGAGGTCGTGGATACAGATCTTCTCTTGGATGATCAAGATTCAGTCTTGCTACAGGGTGATGCGGAACTATAAAGCCCTGTTTGTCACTTAGAGACAGTGAAAACCTATGGCCTGTCGTCATTAATCAGGAAACCTGGACTGCCTGCTTGTTTTGTAACCCTTTCAAACTACCTGTTTAAAAAGTGGTCGTTTTATTCAGGTTTAGGGGGAAGAAATCCAGTTTCTTTAACTTTTATTTTAAAAAAAAGATTGTTTTTGTGGGAGAGTTGGAGGGAATAAATAATTGGCACAACTGTCTTTAGGAGGCGTTTCATCTGGGCTAGATACTCATGAAATTGTTCCCATCAGGGAATGAACCTGATGTTCACGTTCCATTGCTTTCAGATGTCAACCATTGTGGTTGCCTTTTATCCCAAAGCTTGCTGTGAGTGTGTGTGTGAAGCACGCTGCCCTCTTTGTGCTGGGGCCTTGGGCCATCTTTCCCACCAAGAGTTATTTTTATTCCGTTCTGACCTCATTCTGTAGTTTGCCATGAACTTGGCATCTTTGCCAGGAGACTCTAGGCTGGGGGTAACTTTCCAGGGGGCAAAGCAAGCCCTCATGTGGCATGGCTCTTCTCCAACATGTGTGGCATTTGAGGAGTTGGCCAAATGTGAAAATAGGTTTCCCCCTGCATTGCCTGTTATTTTTTGGCCTGTTTGCAGGAACACTGTACTGTATAATTTTAGGCTTTCACTCCCAGCAGTGATTTACTGAGGATCTACTTTAGGGACCAGAGGTGTCCTCTTCCATGTTTCCTTGGGGCTGGTCAGCTCTGAGTTGTGGGTGGCAGTGTTGAGTTTTCTGCATGAGCTTACTAGAGACCCATGTGGAGGCAGATACCGTTGCTATTAAGTTGCCAGAATTGCTTTCAGTTTTAGGGAGAGTGGTTGAAGGGCTCACATTGAAGTATGTGAGATGCCAGGAAGTGTTCTTTTGCCCAAAAAATGGATCAGAAAAGCCTATTTTCTTTTGCAACACTGTTAGTGGTCGGTGGAGTTCTGAAATTACCTTGTGCCACTTGGTAGTACTGTGAAACCTCATTCAATGAGATTTTGCTATAATTCACGTCTGCTGGACTGAAGTTTACCTTGATGCTGGCTATGAGAAATAGGATTTTCTAACACATGATAGCAAATACAAGGGAAATGGCATTGAAGGCCAACAAAAGTGGATCAGAGACACTTTAGCTACGTTTGCATTTAAACAGTAAATGTATTCATTACAAGTCACTTACCAAAGCACTTCTAGACTTCTCTAAGCTACATGACTTTGCTCTGCCTCCTCCTGTCCCTGTCAGCAGGGCTGCTGTTTGTACTTGACGGTAATAAATCTGTATTCCTTCAAAAATGTCATTTAGCCCAGGCCTTTGAGCTGAGTCAGATTGACCCATCCCACTGTTAGGGCAAAAGTTAGCCTGGGTTGCAGCTCCAGTGCAGAGAGGATCCTCCTTCTTGCAGCTCCCTCTTCAGTGTTAATGCTGTGTGACTTCCAGAGCAAGTGTGTACATGCTTGCTAGCGAGGATAGTTCCCCAGCACCGTGTAAGTGTGGCTCTCATTCTGGGCCTCTTTTCTGGCACAGTAATAGCTTGATATTAGAGAGAATGTCAGTGGAAGCATGAGGGCAGGACCTGAGCATCTTTTAATTTGATTCTGCAAAAGCATTTGGCACAAACTCATGGGGGGCTGGCTTTGGCCACAGCAGCCCCACACAAGTGGTGATCTCTGAATCTCAGGAAAGCCTTGGACAGAAGAAAAATACAAAGATTCTTTTCATTTCCATCTTTCTGTTTTCAGAGAAGAGGTCTTGGAGATTTCCTTCATCTTTAGGGGAAAAAAAGTGTTTTATTTGCTGCCATTTCGGACAGGTTATTCCACCCTATGTTTTATCTAAGCAGTTGAGTTAGGAACTGCCTGGGCAGTGTGCATTAGCTTTGAGGCAGAACTGTTACAGAACCATTCCCACTGTCATGTGAGCAGTTGATCACCTCTGTCCCAGTGACTACTTCCCTCCATTTACAGGTGTTCAAGAGTGAGTCTGGAATGGTTCTACTATTGGGTCTCTGGAAGCTTATCTATCAAAGAAGCACACACCCAGAAAAATGTTTATAAAGCAAATGTATTCCTTCTGTTTGGAGACTTGCCCAGCTGTTCCAGTTTTAAATGTTAAAAATAAACCGAGTTGCCACGGCAAAAATATAATGCACAATTTAATTTTAATTTTCCATGCAGTATAGCATAAGGGTTTTTGACTTGAAATAACCAAAGAACTCCTCCTTAATGAGACAGTTCAAATTCCTGAATTAGTATTTCTTGACTATCAACTTAAAAGAAAGGACTTTCTAGTAAAATATTGCACTTATTTTCTTTTTCCTAAAATGATTCTGCCTGCATGTATGTGTTGTGTTTTAGCTCCCCCCCTCCCCACCCCATCCCAAAGAACTTTTCTTCCTAATGGTTAATGTCTTCAACATGGTTACTGTTTACTATCAGATGGTTTTTCATTAGTGATTTTAGACCTCTTTGAGAAAGCTTGTATATAAAAAGTTAACAGATATATTTTATGGAAAAACCCATCTTATTTTCAAATATATTTAACTGCTGTTATATTTTATTATAGGAAGGTTGTAAATATTTTCTAGGAGTTCTATTGTAAAGAAAAGTATTTTTGAAAAAAATTAATGTAATAAAAATGAAAACATTTTTAAATGATGGTGATTGCTTCCTGTTCTGGCTTCGTTATGTTCTATTCTCAGCAGATAACTTGCATGCCTTCCATATCAGGATGTAATTTATTCAGGTTTGCACTATTATAAGTTGACATCATAATATCTAGTGTGCTTAACTGTATTTTCCCAGAATGCAGGTACCTTGGTCCATATCAAAGCACTATGTATAGCATATTCACAATTTTTCTTTTGTAACGTGTGTATTTTTAATAAGGATTTTATGTAACATTTTGGCAAAAAGAGGACAGTATTTTCTAGTGAATTTTATAATAACATTTTGCTAAAAATGTTTCTTCCTAGGTCAGTTTTTGTTAAGGTGAACCAGAAGTCTTATTTTACCAGGAGTTTAAAAGAAGTTTGAAGCTTGAAAGCAAAGTTATATTTAAACATCATATGTAACAAATAAATAAAGATGTTTTATAGACTTGTCCTAAAAAGGTGCATTCCTTAAAAATACAAAACTGGGGCATTCTAGCTTGTTTCCCCCTGAATGATAAGCATCTTTAAAAAATTATCGCAGTACTTCAAAAAGAGAACCAGGAGAATTTTACTTAACAGGTTCCAGTCATTAGCCTTCTCAGAAATTTATTACAGTTCCTATAGATGGGCATTCATCAAATAGAGATGTAACCAAATAGATATTGTCATATTTATTTGTGAAAACCTGATTCAGTATTGCATCAGCTGCTCTGAAAATAAATATTATCTTTTTGAGTTTCATTCGGCTTAAATATTCCTTCTTTCTAGCCATTGAAATGACTTCTCAATGCTGGATAAATGCTAACTTGCCTGTTAGTTGGTTTCTGTCGACAACAGAAGTAGAGGTCTGCTGATCAGATAGAATGTTCATTATGTCCCCCCTACTCTAGAGGCCAGGACATACATTTCTGCTATTCAAGCAGTGGATGGGCCACTTGAAGACTTGGTGGTCTCTAAATCATATTACTCAAACCACAATTTGGGGGTTGCTCAGTATTACATACAAGTATCTATCTTACAGTAAATCCTCCACAAAGTCCATGCCCACCCTAATTTATTTCCACTTTAAATCTGGATTCCCAACATTTTAATAAGTCTGTTACTGATTACCAGCAAACTTTAGAAGAAATTAGAAATTCTGGATTTTTTTAAGTGGGGCATGGCTGTTCAAGCTTTTGCTCTTCTAGGTTCTTTTGTTTTTTTACTTTAATTTTAGCTATCTATTTTGGACAGTACTATATCAAATAAAATTCCTCTAGAAGCAGTGTGCATTTAGCCAGTCATAGAAATTTAAAGTCTGCTTACAGGGGCCCAGGTGTCCAATCTGAAGACTCCCCTATGTTATATTCATTCAGCCAATCCTCATGAGCCAACATGTACCAGACACTATTCCATACTCTATTATACATGGGAGAGGAGAGTGTATGAAGATGATTGTACGTGATTCAATTCCTTCCTGCCAAGGAATTTAATACCTGGAAAGAACATATGGGGGCCTGGGATCTGATCCAAGTCCACCACTGGGAGGAGCAAAGGTCATGCTTTATTAATATTCTGAGCCCCCTCACCGTCACCCACACATACATAGCAATTTATAGCAGGTGCTCAGCAACTATCTGTTAAATTAATTACCTCTCTAGTCTTCCAGCTATGTTTATCCGTGTGTGTGTGTGTGTGTGTGTGTGTGTGAAAGAGAGAGAAAGAGAGAGAGAGAGAATAAAACCTCTTACGAGTTTGCTTAGAGTCCATTCTGAATCCCATGGACTCCCAGTCTATCTTCCTTAGCTACAGCCAGCCAAGTAAGATGTTCTCTAGGAATATGGATGAGTTTTAATGTTGACATAAGCAAAACATAATTAGAAGACATTTTAAGAAACTGAATAATATATTCCTATGAACCATAAGTGATCTTTACAGTATAGATATCCCTGTACGAAAATGCTAACAGGCCAACTATTTCCTTTATGTAAGAGAGAATCTTTTGAAAAGGGCTGTCTTTAAAAACAGAACAACTGGAGCAATCAAAATATGATTTAACTTGGAAATATTTGATGTACCTACTTTTATTTTCCTGGATATAAAGCAAGGTGTTCTTGCATCAGCTGTGTAGAATTACTAGCCTCCCACTCCTCTACATTAGATGTAGAGATGTTTGAAAGTTTAGGCTTTAGGGAAGAGACTGATAACGGATAGGCCAAGCTTCAGAGCACTCACTGTCCATGCCCACACACCATGTCAAATAGGCCTGTCCGCAGCCCTACTGTTCACAAAACCTAGTTTTGCCCCTTTCAATCACTCCCACCTTGCCCCCAGCTAATTGGACCAGGGTGGAACAAAGCCATTAGGCCCATAGGCCATTTAGTGACACTTGACAGAGCTTAGCCCAGGAAGGTGAAGGGACCAAATCAAATCCGCACATTTGAGAGTATGAATGGAGAAACTTGGTGAGCCAAAGGCAGCAAGCACTGGCCATATGCAAGGCAGAGTCCTGAAGGAGCAGAAACCATATGTAAGCAGAGAAAGTCCATCAATCTAAACGATTATGTTTGTCCCCATATTGGCCAGCTACCCCCCCCCCCCCGCAAAAAAAAGATTATGTTGGCTTCCGAAGAACGGAAAGGTTATGCAATCCCTAAGGTGCTGTGAGCATACTTTTCAAGTTCCAGGAGCAGTCTAGGCCACACATGTCTTTAAAAATAAACCCCTTTTTCTTTTGGGGTGGGGATGGGTGGGTGTCTCTATTCCTTTCATCCAAAAGAGACTTAAATAGAACGAGACCTCATCATAGAATCAGCACCAGCCCCATGCAGAGGTAGAAAAGGCATTGAACTAGGATTTTGATTCAGCTGTAACTAACCCTATGACATTGAGTGAGTCATTTCAACTTTGAGCCTCAGTTTCCTTACCTATAAAACTAGGATAAAATTCATATCTTCTTGTAGGATCAGAGTAGATAACACAGGTGAAAGTCATTGGCAAGCTGTAATGTCACCTTCATTATGGCTGCAGAACACTCACCCAAGCGAGGCACCCAAGTGGGGAGAGGCAGGCTGAGGAGCCGTCACAGAAGTGCCATATAGAGAAATTTGTGCAAACTTCAGAAGCAGCAACAGAGTTGGGGGTGGGGAGGCTGTTGGAAAACTCCACTGGCTGAGACAGACTACCTTGAACGTCACAATTTGGAGAGGGAGCCTAATTCTGAGAAGGGCATTGGGCACCCTGCCAGCGCAGGACAGAGCTAAGTCCAGCAGAACTGCACATAGGGGAAGGGTAGTGTTTCCATAGTCTGGTGTGGGATCACACTGGGCATCTCTGCTCCACATGGACTGAATTCTAGTGAACAGAGGCCAGCCTGTGGGGTCAGAAAAACTAGTTTCTGCTCCTAGATCTTTCATCAATTTGTGTGATTTTGAGCAAATCATTCTACTCCTTCCTTGGTTCTCTTGCCTGCAAAACAGGATAATATCTGCTTGTGGGAAGAAAAACAACTACTTTTCATTCGCAAAGTACCATATTTAGATGATACAAAATGTTCTCATAAATTTGATCTTTTTATTTTTAATCTTCTCAACAACCTTGGAGGCAGGTGAGGCAGATGCAACTTTACGTTACAAATAGTGGATGACATTTATCATGTTGTTATTATGTGGCAGGAACTGTACTAACCATCATACGTCAGTATCTCGTTGAATTCTCATAGCAACTATTTGAAATAGGAACTATCATTATCATTTCTATTTAACACATGAGAAAATTGAGGCTCACAGTGAGGAAGTAACTTGCCCAAAGTGGTAAACCTGGGATTAGAAACCAGATCTCCTGATCATAAGTGTAGAGTTTTCCATTATGCTAAACTGCATATGTGAAAGCACTTTGTTTAGAAATTTGCACAAATTGAAGAAATATTTATCACAGCAAATTCCAGTTATAAGCCTTTGGAACTAAATTATGGTGCACATTAATGACTAGAAAAAAATACCTCTGGCTTGTTGTAGTAGGTGAAGGCAGCTGTTGTAAATTCTCAAATACTGGAGTAACATAAGGAAATGAATGATTTACGAAGATCAGTAGGGCAGTGGTGTACAAGATAGGTAGGTGGAGCACAAAAATTCCAATTAGTGCAGGGATGGAAGGTAGGATTAAGAAACATAACTAGAAGGCTATTGCAATAAGGTCAAGGATTGGCACCCGGACTCAGTAGTGTGGTAGACGTTTCTTTTAATTAAATATAAATTTTGTGAAATTTTTGAAAAATAGAGAAATAGGAAAATAAGTCAACCATTATCCCACTACCCAGAGATAACTGCTGTCAAAATATCATTATATATATATTTTTTTCCAAGCATGTTTTATGTTTGCCTCCAACAACCCAGGAACCACGTAGGACAAACACGACTTAAAGGAGAAAACATTGATGGGACTCGGTAACTACCTACATAAGGGATAAAGCAATTTTATCAAGACACGGTTTCAACCGAGGAGCCCACCCAACCTCAAAAAGCAAGGAATCACGTCTCTATGGTTATTCCTATGCCGGAATACAAAGATACACTCTCTCCTTTTGCCGAACTCTATGGTCTGAGCACGGCGCTGTGATCCCGGAAGCGATCCTGGGAGGTCGGGATGGCAAGATGGCGCTGCGTACGGCGATTGGGTCTGTGTATCGGCGCGTCTGTCAGGTACCGGGAAGCTGGGTAGACTGGGTGGGCTGACGGGTACAGTTGCCACTAAGACTCACTGCCACCTGTCGTTCTGCCCATCAGGAATGTTTCCCGATATTATTCCTGACCTCAGGCCGTTTGCAGGAAGGCTGGTTTTATCTCGAATTCTCTCATGAGATTAAACATCAGTTAATGAGTCAGGACAAAGACAGAAACAAGAATTTTAGAGTGTCAAAGCCATCATATATTCCAAAACCCCTCCTTTCACGTTTGCAAAATAAACAGGCTCAGAGAAGACGAAAGCTTGCCTCGCGAAAATTAGGGGCTGAGCTGGCACACGATCTCAGGCACTTCCCGCGGGACTTAATTGAGATTATATCCCCCGCCACCTCGACATCGGGGTTCTGAGATTTGGATGAGGGTCTCTAAAATCAGAGGAGCAACCAAGGTCCAGGTTTCGATCCCTGTACCAGCCAGCTGCTAAAAAACACACACACACACACAAAAGTCAGAGGAGTGGATTAGATATTCTCTTGTGTTTCTTTGAAGAGAAGCTTTTTGGCCTCAGGACCCTGTTACATTTTTGGAGTTGAGGACTCCAAAGAGCTTTTTCGTGGGGGGGGGGGGGGGGGGGG